TACCGTGAATCACCCTTCGCGAGTGAATCTGGCCCTGCTTTGGTCTTTTTCCAAATTGTTTGTAAATGAGGGCTACAGTGATACTACTGTAGTGAAACAGTAAATGCCAATGTTGAAGATGAAATACAAGATGTAGATAGGAAAATGATAAGAATATAGTAAAATGTCGTTCTGGAAAGTTAAAATAAGTGGCAAGATTGAAGACGAATTAACTTGTTTCTCGGAATTTTGGTAGTGGACAAAAACAGTGGAGATTAAGGAAATGTGCTGAGAAGCTTGCTGATATATAATTACCATATGCGCTAAATTCTCACTAGTTTGGGCAATTTTTGTAATCTCGATAATATAACAATAAAGTTGAACATGCAAGAGACCTGTGTAGTAATTCGTTTCCCAGACATGCTTCAGGCAGAATTGACCGATGAACGCAGAAAAAACGATGCAGGAAGCTGAATTACCCGGTTCGCTTCGATGTGTTGGAGAAATGACTTCAGAACTGACTCAAGTAGCTCCCAGGGGTCTTCATTTGGAGGCGCAGCCAGATCCATTCTGCCGGGCGGGATCGGAATGTATTTCGGATTTTGCTGAATCACTGACATCAGCTGCACTGCCATTTCCTCCAGAACCACCTGCAGTTAAAGCGTCTTGTCGCGCTGCTTTCTGCTCACTGAACAAAAAAATTTCTTCGCTTTAAAACGTCGTCTCTCCAGTCTGATTCCCCGCACTCGCAAAACCCTTTATATTCATGCATTCCAAATATGAAGGGTTTTGCGAGTGCGGGGAATCAGACTGGAGAGACGACGTTTTAAAACTAAAACTATCAGCAATTTGAGAATCGCCTAGGGTATAGTCCTCCTGGCGAAAATTTTATCTTGGATGTCTTGAAACCCCAGTGGCCTTTCGTAGGGCGCATCCAAACCTATATGCAAGCACATGTTGCGGACCCGAGTCGAGTTTTAGTAGTTTTCAAACAAAATGATAAGTACTCCTGCTGCTGCCGCTGCTGCAAAGTGGTGCTGCACTCACTCTGTACTCATCGACATCTTTGCACGAATCGTTGAAGCGTTTGCTGTATTCGACTCTTTCGACGGTACCAATTTTTTCACTAATTCGCATAAGAAATTTTCGGAAACCACTGCACTGAGGCGGTTGTGGTGGAGCTGTCGCAGGAACAGCGGCTGGTTTATCCGGTCTTCGTTCTTGGACATTTTCAGTGCTCAAATCGAAATGTATGACAGAAGAGGAATTCGTATTATAAAAAAGGATTTGTAAAACGAATTCACAATGACTTTTACGGCTTCTTTTCATGACTGTCATAGCACAGACCTTTAATTTGGATGCTCAAGATCTAGACTCTCATGTACAAATCAGTTTTACACTCTGAAACGCCCTTCACTGCTGCTCAAAATTGTTCTTTTGACTAGCAATCGCTGGATCGTCCAGTGAGCAAAAAGGGGCGCAGCTTCTCACGGCTTTA